ACAGTAAACTGAGTAACCCATTGCAACCTTATAGATGCTGATCTATCTACATTACATGTGGGCGTGTGTGTGTGTGCATTTGTATCATGTCATGCACTTAAACACTGCACAATGTGGGGAGAGATGAATTGCTGGCAAACACATAAACCATCCTGTGGGATGTGGGCCTTTCTGCAGGACCTTCAGTGTCTACCCTCTTCACTATGTCACCAGTAAAACAAGGGATTGGAAAAACCATCAGCAAATAAGTGAAAAAGTAAACAGTCATAGAAGGCTGCTTAATCACCAAGGTCATGAACAATCAAATACCATCCAATTGTCAGCATACTGTACATATTTAAAAAAAGCGTTCTCAGAATAACGTCCTTAAGGCCACAGGGCAGCTACACATGAAAAAACATCCAGCGCAACGTTGTTTACGCTGTGTTAAGTACTGTCCATGTGGTTGTGCACAGCGTACATCCTGCCACCTACAGCACCCTGTCGGGACAGATCCACCTGCTCCCAAGCTCCTTTGAGGCCAGAGCAGATGTTGCCACGGCGCAGCCTCAGCAGTGACGGGTCACCGTGACCAAGCCCAGAGATAGGACCAACTGCTGTTAACAGGAGGTTTGTGATGTTGCTGATACAGTCAGCTCAGGCTACTGCAGGTGGTGCTTTTAGCTCCAGTGCTCTCTGTTCTCCTCCTATTCTTGCGCACAGTATTTGGTTCACTTGTTGCTACACTTGTAGTAGTCACTGTAGTAATCACTTTGTATGTAAGAGACTTTCTTATATACAAGATGTATATATACTGATGTAACTAGCAAATTACAGTGTCTTTAGGAAAAGGTAGTTAACTGTACGTGGATCAAGGGATGAAGCGTAGCAGTCTTAACCGGAAGACTATTGTACATCGAGGAGTTAGCAATCCATGTAAATTGAGATGAGACAGCGCAGGCCTGTGCTGCACATATCACCTGGCCACAGGATAAATTTAGCTGGCTAATCCTAACTGGGGAGCCTGCCGGTGGCTCCCACTGGCACCTGGCCATAGACAACCTGGGCAGCTGCCTGGACACACCTCAGGGAAAGGGCAATCCTCAGCAGATTACTCATCTGCTCATCACAACAAGGAGACGGTAACATGGAAGCCCAGCCCAGCCCAGGAAGGAGCCGAAGTTGCAATACTTCATTCTTTTTCTAATTCTGTTTCCAGCCTGAGGCTCCTGCAAACTAGTACTTCTTCCCAGAGTTACTCACACAGGAGGTATTTCATACTCACTTTCCTCCCTCTCTGCACGGTTGTGGTTGGCAGGGTAGCCAGCCTTACTTCTTGTAAATGTGCCACAGCTGCTGTCACTTGACAGACACACCTGGATCTGGGATTACATTTTGATTTTTATTGAAATACAAAAAGTGCAAACTGTGAAATATAAGATTGGTGCAGATTAGAAGGAAATAAACAATGTGAACCATAAAAACCCCAGCCCTGCACCTGACGAACATCAACAGAAAAGAAGGCAGGGAACACCAGCAACAAAAGCAAAGCCAAAAATTTTGCACAGGAGCCCCCATGCACAAAAGAGGAAACTGGGACCAAACTGGCCCTCAGCTCTCTCTCAAATTAGCAAACATTGCCACAAGGCATCCAGGTGACCCCAGCCCCCCTGCACCACCCAAAAGCTCTGGTGTCGGGGAGCAGGATCAGAGGCCAGTAAGACAGCAGGAGGCTTAGCAGAGGGGAATGGTCTAGGTGCGAAAAAGCAGAGGGTTGAAGTGGAACAAGTACCCCCACAGGGAGAAATGGCTAATAGCTAACCTGAAAGACGAGCCAGGGAAGATCCTTGGGCAGCTCTACAGCAAGGAGAAACCTGACAAAGACCAGCACCCTAACCAGATACCTGCTCCCCAGAGAAATCCAGCCCAACCAGCCTGCATGAGGGGGCTGACCAGATGAGGAAGGAATTTAATGCCCTGGGCTTGGCAGATGCAAGCTCTGGTGGCCATCCACCCAGTGCAGGCTGCAGGCAGGCCCAGGCCGGTTCCTTGCTCAAGTCACAGGAGGGACATTTCAATACAAGGCATTCAGGGGAGCAGACTGCAGAAGCAAAAGCCACCCTGGTTACTGTGCCTGCTCCGGGGCCCCTGGCAGCTCCAGCATGAGGAGCAGCAGAGGAAAAGGGGTATTTACACTGGGTCCCTTCCAGGATTTTGCAAGCACTTTCCCACCATAAGCAGTAGCACCTTCCTGAACACCCTCCAAATCTGCTCCCTGCAGGCACCGAACTGGAGCAGGCTTTTATCCCTGCCTGCAGGGGATGCACAAGTCTCCATTTTGCTAAAAAAGGAAACATTATTTCAAGAATTCACTTCAAAAAAAAAAAAAAAAGCGCACCCATCAAACAAACTCCAGCCAGAACACAGACGCTTGCAGCAATCCCTGCTCTCCCCCTGGAGAGGAGCTAAGGTTCCCCAGCACTGCTCCTCTGGCTACTGGGCAGAGAACGGTCCTCGCTGCTCTGCAAGGCTGGAATGTGCCACCTTCCCCAGAGAGCTGGGCTGCACACAGGGCCAAGGCCTCCTGCCCCGGCACACAGGCACTTCCTGTTCCAAGTTGCTGACCTTGGGCTTCTTTGTCCCAGAAGAAGTTAGCTGGGTTTGCTTTTCCTCTAGGGGGATATAAGCGAGGCCAGTGTCAGCTGCAGATACAGTCAGAGCATCAAGTGTCCCCCATACTGAAGCTTACACAGAGCGGAGGCCTGCAGGGAGACAGGGGCTGCACTGGGCTCCCTCAGCCTCCCGGCTCCTCCCAGGCTGTCCAGAAAGCCTTGCCTCTTAAAACAAACACTGGGGCAAGTATACCTCTCTCCACACTGTCCATCCCAGGAGGCTACTCCTCCGCAGCACATCAGCCCTGCTAACTTACTCTAGCAGAGATGGCAAGTGAATTAGGAGCTGAGTATCTCTACCTCCAAAACATTTATTTGGTTACTGCTGTGAATTGTTCAGACTGAAACAATTCATATCCTGGCCAAACAGGAAAGACTTCTACTCTTGGAAGGGGGAGACTAAGCAGCCTTGTAGCCTCCATAGGGCAAAGTCCCCCAGTATCTAGAAGGGATCAGACCCAACCATCTCCTAGAAGATCTCGCTCCAGCCTTAGTAATGCTCAGTTTCTTGCTCGCTGTTTCCACCCACGTGCCTCCTTCGAGTCAGCTGGCTGGACCTGCACTGCCCTGCAGAGCTGCCTGTGTTCACACCCATCCCCATTCCAGAGCTTAGCAGAAAGAACAATTTCCGTAATTCCTGCAGCAGATGTCACTTATTTTGATTACAACTGGGGCACCGACCTTTGGTCGGTGTTTAAAGGCAGGCTAAAATATTATGAAAAAGCAAATTCTATTTAGCATCCAGTAGCTTTTTAAAAATTAGTTCTGCTTGGTCCAAAAGATTTGTCCCTGTGGCCCGATGCAGCAGGGAGGACTGGCCCAGGCATGCAGGGCACAAGATACAAAGATGTAACACACCAGTGAAGTAAGGCTAGAAGCTCCCTACTAACCCCCTGCTGGGCCCAGGCTAAGGAGAAGGATCTTTTTTTGCTCAGGTAACGGGAATGCTGCAACCCAAAACCAACAGTGAGGCCTTTACAGTACTGCAGCTGCTTTGTGAAGGTGCCAGGCCCACCCCGCTCGCGCCTGCCTTGCAGACAACCTGGATGTCTCCAGCCATGCCCAGGGCATAGGGGATGCATCTGCCGAGGCTTCCGTGGTAGGACAGAAGGAAGGTATGAACAAGGAGAGATGGGGCAAAGGCCCCTGGCATGGAATAGCTGTTCCCTCACAGCTTTGGCACATGAGTGCTCAGCACCTGGGCAGAAATTCGTAATCCAGGCCTGGTGCACTCCAGGGTGAGGGTTAGTCCCAGTTCCTAGACCTTCCCCTCAAGGCCATGCTCTCAGTTACGCTTGTGCTGGGGAAAGTTCTGCTCAAAAAGACAACTAGCCAAGGTGGTCTGCGCCAGTCAGCACAGATACATGTGCCTGAAGGAGGAGAAGCAGCCTTGTGCTGCTGCCACAGGGAAAGGCAGCATAGCG